AACATCTTTATGTTTAGAACTTTTTGAAATTGAAAGCCGACCTGAACTATGTCCTGCTCAAATAGTCTATGCTTGTCAATACCCTGGGGTATTCTGCTAGTTTGTTTAATCTAGGACCATAGTTTAGCTTTGTTTCAATCTTATTGCATAATAACACACTCTATTCTATACATCTGTCTTGCATTATAAAGAAAATTCATTTGTATGGTTTAAGATATTTAATTAATACTAAAAAGCTTATATGTATTTGCATGGAAATCGGTTAGAAAATTTTAAATTTCAATTCCGTTTCATTTTTTAAAAAGGCGGGCAATTTCCACATAACACAATTTTAAAATTCGAAATGTGAAAAAATGTGTTTTTTACTTAATCAAATGCACTCGTATATCAAGAACGCATTGTATACTTGCTTTATATCGTTGCATACAAACGACTGATGTTATGGACAGAACAGCACTGAACTGTTTTACTGATGGATTGGAGTGATATATATTAGAATTCTATCACTCCAATAATATGCTATTCATTCATTAATGCATGAACATAGCAAAACAGAAACGAATTCCCACCAAAAGCAAAATATTAATTCATCCTAGAGACGTTATGAGCTATTGCTTAATAAATCGGAGAAGTTTCTCTTCTTCATTTTCATTTCATTCTCATTCTTTTCGTGTACTCGATAAAGTAGTTACATATGGTAATGCTTTTGAGCAACAAATATTACAAATTTCGATGTGCATTACGTAGACACGGACGCGGAAATGTTTTAAAATAATTTACACTTACCTCTATTTCAACAAGTAAGAAAATCTTATTCGGTTGTGACCGAATCTTTTATACCCCTCACCATTATCCTATTTTTCGCGAATTATTTTACCGAAATTTATATCGTGTATCTGTTGCGGTTTCTGAGCAACGAGTAAGGCGCGTGTGGGCGCTGCAGGCGTGTTGTTTGTGAAGCTTGGGTCATTTTCAAATTCCTTTACAAGTTTGTACCCGATATCTTTATTTTGCGTGAACGGGAGATACTACGCCACAGATATTACATAGCTGGACGGACGGACACATAGACAGATGAACGAACGGACATGCTTGGATGACAGGCATCCACGACGGACAACTAGCATAGGAAATTTAATATGTTATTAAAAATTTTTTAACATAAATATTTTAGGAAAGTTAGTGGTCTACCAAAATGATCCTGAAGTAACCGTTGATCTAAGCAATATTTTATTATTACTTGGACTTGCTTCCATTAACAGGTAACTAACAACGTGCCTAGTCGTGAAGTCGGTAGCATTAAATCCTCGCTATTAATCACTTGAATTGTTATATTTTACTTATTTATGTTTTGTACATTGATTTCGCATTAAAATATAAGTAAATTCTCTTCTTGCGCTATGCAAGAAAATCGAGAACTTTAGTTTTTTTTCTTTTTTCTATCTATCGCCAAAGGATGATGCGTATGTTCATTTTCTCCAAAACCCTTGCAACACTTCAAACGTAAGCTTCAGAGACCCCTCAAAGTATATACATATACTCTTGATCAGCATAAAATTTTAAATTAATTTAAGCATACCCGTCTGTCCGTCTGCCTGCCTATTCCTGGCCGCATAAAAGGAGTTACCGACTTTAAATTTGGCAGAAGGATTGAATGCTCTTGTACGCACGGATGTGCTTAAATCGATTCCGGATTTGATGCTGATCAAGAAGATATATATATATATATATATATATATATATATACTTTTTGAGGTCTTCGAAGCTTCCTTCTGAAGTTTGCAAACCTTTTGACAAAATGAATATACTCCCCTCCCTCGGGTGATGGGTGTAATAAGCTATTGTCATTCGTCAGCTATAAGAAATAAAAAAAAAATAAAAATTTTAAAGTAAAATCGAAACACTTTAATCAGATCGCTGAGAAAATCGATTTTTTATACCTTTTAAAAGCTAATTTAACAAGCAAAACAATACAATTGTCTTGCAACAATATCTACCTACATAACTAACAACCCAGTGCTATACACGATGTAATCTTCCGAGAAATCTTAAGAATTTAATCTATGACATTGATAATTTCATAGTAATACTATCTTATGGCAGTAAATGAATGATTTTCCCCTTTGCATATGTTGAAGGTAACATTTTATATGAGTATTTATTATAATAATGCGCACATACACACATAAAAAGATGTACAAAACGCATTGTGTTAGCTCAGGCGAGAAATTTAAAATAGAGCAAGCATGAAAGCAAGAATTTGATCAACGAGTGAGTATAAGATATATTAAGCATTCAATAGAGTTTTCATACATTTGCTTCAGTAACGGTATCTATTAGTATTCTTCAATTGAATTCTTTGAAAACATCCTTAAAATTGTTAAAAGATGCGAACAGAACCTGTAAAGAAAACTACAAGGTAGAGAGAGATAGAGATAGAGATAGATAGAGAGAGAGAGAGAGAGAGAGAGAGAGAAATAATTTACGTTTCATCACCAATAGTAATAAATGCGAGTATCCGAGAAAATATACTTTCAAGCTATCATAAAACATGTATATATTTATTTTTTAAGGTTAATTCTCTTTAGCATAAATACAATATCAAGTTGCTTTATTGTGAAAAATAGGCAAAAAAAAAAAAAAACAAAAACAAACAAAAAACCGTCGCATTGTTCGACATATTACGTATAAAATAAGATTCTTGTCATTTTTTCAATTAAATCCGAATGCTAAACTAACAAAAAATGTGCATAATCAAGGGTCTTTCATTAGGAGTGATACTTGTTAACATTTGAGATAAAAAAAAAAAAAAGAGCGAGAAGAGCAACTCAACGTATCAAAGTAAATTATGGCTTATTTTGAAACTTACACGTCGCAGTTACGTTCTCAACGAACTATCTTTGCACTACGGCTTTAAACAAACTGACGTTACACGATGAGTTGAGAATTAGAGGTCCAGCATATGCCACTGAGACTTCATGAAAACCTTGTGGATTCTTCTCACTTCAATAACGGCAATTCTTCTTTTTGACAAAGACACTAAGAGAAAAATGCGCCTGAGAAGATGATTATCTCAACCTTTCTCCCAATGAACTCTCCGCTAAACAGGCGAAGAGTAACAACAACTGAGCTGCCACTTTAGTAAAATTAAAGTTTAATAAAAGAAAGAAAAAAATAGTTCCTAAACGCTCACGTAACGTAGCCAGACGTTGAGCTGTACTAAATTTTTCCATATCTGAAAGCACACGTAAATCATGTTTGAAATTGCAAATTAGATCAGTAGAGAAAGTATCACTGCCAGTGAGAGACAATTCGCCATTGCTTTTCCTTAAACACCGGCATAGTATGTCAATGTATCTTTGTTTCAAAGAACCCTTAATTTTTTGAAGCGACCTATTTTTTTCTGATGTCGTCCTAATACCGAAAGTGTTGATTAGACAGATTATGAATAGTGCGCGATTTAAACAAGCCTTAATCAATAGGGCAAGGAATCCAGTTCATTCCAATACAGCACTGCTAACGTCGTGTTAACGCCAACATTATTACGGTTTTTAAAGCTTTGCTTATTATTATACCTGTCCCGTTTTAATCTCAGCGCTGCTTATTAATGCTTTCTCTCAAATAACATCTTACTTAAGGTTAAGCCTAAAGATGAAACTTTGACTTTTTCGAAGATCACACCACTACCCAGTACCATACAGTATGAGTCACATAGTCAAGCAGAAGGTCTAGCTTGATTTTGATTTCCTCCGCTTTCAGATACATGAGCAAGTAAGTTTTTTATCTGTATCTGTATGAATGACGGACACGGACAACTAAAAGAAAAGAATGCCAATGTTCTAGGCCATCATGACTTGAATTTCTCCTTCATCTATCAGAGATTCAAATAACCTCAAAATTTCCCTATGACACCTTAGCATTCATTCTAAGAACTTGGCAGCTAAACTCATGTTGAGTGACTTACTGTTGACGAGACTAAAGAACGAAACTATTTTGGAAAATCAATACATTTTCATATGACGCTATCATTAAAACAATCTCGTACCAGAAATCTTAATCCAGTGCGATAGTTCGAATTTAGCAAGAATGCATGCATGGCGAAAGTGCTTGCTTATGTTAAAGCAAGAAAACATAAAATATTAGATTCGCTGGCGATTTGATCTTCATCAAAACTCTGTCAATACTCTATACAAGCGGCTGAACGTAATCGATTTTTTAAACTTTCATACATAGGCCTACAGAATCGCTTAAAAGATATTTGTGGAAATCTCTGCCATTATGTCTGTTTACAACTTCTGAGTCACGAGTAGAATATTCTATTGTCGAATAATCGAAAACAGACAGTTTTCAGTTAACGTTGCACGGTAGGCGTGTGCTTAAATGTATTTGTTCTATATTTAACACTAATCTGCCTAAGAAGATCTTGAAATGGTTTTGCCAAATTTCAAGTCGATATCGGAGATTGCTTGCCATATTTATTACACTCGCAGATATATGGGCTAGAGGGCGAACAGGCACTTGCCTGAATCGAAGCAAGAATACATACAATATATGGAGTTTCTGAAGTTTCCTTCGTCATATACCCCAAGCAAAAAAAGCTTTAATATGTTAGTTGTAATCATTCCATATATACACTATATATATATTTATATTAAATTTTTCTTTTATACAATTTCAACGGTCAAATGATCGATCCTTTGTTCATGTTGATCAACAATTTATGTAGTTTATAACTTTATCGAAGCTTTGCTTGCCCAATACTGGCATTTATTATATCGCAAAAAATATTGATGATAACATGAACAGCAGGAGATTCGAACATAATTAATTTCTCTTGTGTTTCAATAACAAAAAAAAAAAAAAAAAAATTTACTTAAATCATTCGTTTGTTTCCTAATTTGCATAAAATTCTTTTGCCATAATTTTTCTTTAATTTGTTTTCCTTTTTTTTGTTTTGTTTTTTTTTTTTTTTCTTTTGTTCTTCTTTTTCTCTCTTTCAGCTACCACAATCTGAGTTGGACAATATTGACCCTAATCATAAACGTTTTCGTGTAGAGAATGGTGAATCTTTGGCAGAAAAGGACGAGGTATGTACATGCTTATATAATATATGAGAAAATTAACAAATAAAAATATTTGTTGTGTACTGTCGTTCTTAGCTCGTCAGCCTATGGCATTTTGCCTTTATTTAACTTGTGGTTAGGGTTACGGAAGCAAGTTAAAGCTAACTTTTAACCGCTTCATTATGTTTGAATTGAAAAATCCTTCCCATATACGTTTATACTTTTGTTATGTGAGAGCTAAAGTCTTTGCATATATAGATGAAACGCTATGTTATGCCAATTTTGTAGTTGCTTTGAGTGCGGTCATCATAATGGCAAAAGCTAAACTAAAATATATAAAAATATTGTATGTATGTATGGTGATGGTCCCTACGGTAATGCGGTACATTTCGAATACTTACCCTCTTATATTAGATCGACCATCGAAAGTTTAGAGTCGAAAAGTCTTCAATTTCCCCAAGGAAACTTTGTACACCCTACAAAATGTATATATTCCATTTGTCTTTTTCAATCCGTGTGTCCGTGTGTCATTCCAAGAGGACGTATGTGTTAAGCATACTCCTACTAGTAGAGATTAAGCTATCAGCGAAGACTTTCCTCCAAAGCGAACAAAAAGAGCGACACAACGATTTTAACTTCATTGCAAAAATTGGAGAAGCCAATCGACCTATTCTCTGATATAAGGGAATTGTACCCACATTTTCAGCATTCATAGAAAAGTATAATTTAGGTTTTACTGCGCCTGCAATCGATTCGGGGTCTTTTTTGACTGGATGCTGCACGTCCCAACCAGAGATATGAATAATTTCCGTTTAAGCTTTCAAATCCAAAGGAAAGCAGAAGAAATCATTTCAAATCTGGAAAAAGTGACTAATGTCGATACATATTCTAGTGTGATTTATAGTGTATTGAGTCATTATCATTTTTATCGTAGCACTTTCTAAGGATTCCAACGTCAAAGCGTAAGATCAAACAAACAGAGACTCCACTCTATTTACATAATTCAAAAGTAATGTAGAACACAGTGGGGTTTCGAACACGCATTTCGAATTTTTTCGAATTTTTTTTAAACTGTTCACGCAAGATTTGACTTTCTATTGCGAGTAGAGAAGTTTTTGTTATTTAGAAACAGAAATGGAAAACGTGATATAAAAACATTGGCTGCATGATCCAAGTATTGTCTGCCAACTATAGCAACTTTACTATACACTTTCAAACCAATGAAGCGTATGTATCCTAAATAGTAGAGCTGCCAATCATTTACCGGTGTGCGTCTACGATATAACGAGCTTCCGCCTCCCGCACGACAGATGGATTGAATTTTAACTTTATATTTTTTATGCAGAATTGCATCCATGGAGTGGTTATATTCAGTCAGTACATATTCTATTTTGTTTAAATTTATTGTAGGCGACTTTTCCGCCTATCCCGAAAATTGCCATATACTATACATTGGTCGTTAACAGCGGTAGCAAAACCGATTTACATAATATTTGCTTTTTGTTTGCCCTCGCTCAAGTTAGACGCAGAAATAAGGTTGCATGCACTTATATGTATACGTATATGTCTCTACAAAATAAAAACCAAAAATATGCAAATCAACTTTAATTTCGACTGAATCGCAATGCAACCCGACAACTGTACAAACAAGTACTCGGGAACATAATATGTAGTAAGCAACATAAATTTAGTACAAAGGTACAAAGTTTTCCGCCTAACGCACCATAGCATCGTTCCTGAGCCTGAGATAAACGTGCTAACCACAAGACTATATGATGGCCACATGAAATTTAAGCAATTACTGCTTGAATTTTTAAAGTTAAGGAAACGAATAAGATTTAATTTCATACTTTAACTAAATGATTAAAACCGCTACGTATTGTAATGTAATGTGGTGTTAGTGTCTTATGTATTCTAAAACTATATTTTCATTATTTACATTAAGATTAGTCAATGTAAGTATAATTAAGCGGATTTTAATCCGTTCAGAGTTGTTTGCAAAAAGTTAAATTTAAGTCTATCACTTAATCCCAATATCGGGCTCTTGAAAGCCCATCAAAATAGCTAAGCTTAATACGACTGATTTGCCTATGCCGCATTTAAACTAAGTTGCAATCTTAACATCTCGCTATGATACGAAAATTAATTGGAGTTGTTTACGGTTATCGGTTGCCAAACTTTTGCACGTTCACATCTGTTTTGAGGGGTCACTCGCAATTTGGATCTGTACTGCTCGTGGGCGTGCTAGCTATGCTAGCTGTGTACATGCTTTTTTTTCTTTCCTATTTATTTATACACGGATTGTTATTTAATTTTTTTTTTTTTTTTTTTTTTTTTTTTTAGTTCTACTTATATACTTTGTACTAGTTTTTAAATAATAATTAGTATAAGATTTACTTCTAAGAGTCAATTGAGTTCGGCTGTTGGTTTATTTTAGGTGAGCCTCGCCAATAATGTCGGAGGCTTTTGATACAAATTTTGTATTTTATTTGATTTATGAACAAGAGAAGGAATTGAGATATGGAGCTCCTCAGTTTCGCTCAGTCCACTGCTGTTTTGATGGAGTCCTGCCTCTCGTATCGTTCACAATTTGTATTTGTGGATGCTATCAAGTCTGGGCCGTTAAAAGTACGCAGTCGTATGCCTCAAAGCTCTATCATTGGCTTACCTTTGCCCTTCACCGACTAATTGATTCGCTTTGGAAGAACTATGCATCCTATGCTGATGATTTGAAGATTTTATTTGCGAGAAGTGTTGATAATTTGAAACGATATCATGTTAACATCGACTGCCCACGTTTGAGCTGCGTGCAAATTCGGTTCTAAGGGTAGATGGTGGCAAAGTTGAGATTGTAACTAGCTTGCAATGCCTGCCTGTAATTATCGATAATAAGTTATGTTTTGCTGCGCACATAAATTCTCTGTTCGCTCAATTCAGGTCAATTTCATGCTTAGAAAGTTTTATTCGTTAAATATCTATATCGCCATTCAACTCATAATGAGAGTGATCAAGGCTTTAATTTTAATTAATTTAAATTAATCGTATAGCTAGATATGGTATTCTCCTTGAGATGGTATGACCATATCTCAGGCTGTGCTCTACGTTTTCTAGGTTGTTCCTTCGTTAATCTTATTGAGGCAAGACTTCCACTGACACACAGCATTATCCTACGGCAGGAACCGAAGAAGCTTTTTAATTTTTTTTCGTTTAGTGGGTCGACTCGCAATAATCAATTGTTGATTCCTCGAGTTACGTGCTCCTTGGCCAAATACTTTCAGGTAAAAGTTATAAGTGCTTGTAATTGCCTGCTTAGCGAGTTGTGGTAGGTTAGATGCTCTTATCTCATTTACACGCGTAAGCTTCTAATCTTCGCCACCAATCAGGAGATTAGCTAATTGTTTAATATTGAAATAAAATTGCGGGCGTGGTATGTGTTATTTCCTTTCCTACGTGTCTAATGACTTCCTTGTTTCTTGCCAATAAATAAATAAGTAAATTGAGGATGCCATGATACGAAGAGATAATGCATGAGAAGGAGAAAAGTTCAAGAATTTAACTTGATAAGGAATATTTATACCCTACATCACTTATCGTACAAAGGTATACTAAGAAAAACACTTGTCTGTTTATCTGACCGCCTATCTATCCGATATCTGTCCGTGTATTTTCGTGTTTAGTCTATAATACGCACTTTCTGAGACATTTCGATGAAATTTGGACAACACCGGCATACACTACTGAAAATGATTCGGATCGCTGCACTTTTTCGAGCACTTTCCGTATAACGCATTATTTTGAAGAGTCCTCACATGTCTAACTATATTAGCCAAAGTGACTTTGGGCATATAATAGTAGTTTATAGCCCGCTATAATATTTATACTTGTCTGCACTTAAATTTATTCCTAAATCCCCGGCACTCCTTTTGCAGTATAGCATCAACATTATACTATCGGGCGCCGATCTTTAATGAGAAGACAAAATAAATGCATATTTTATGAAAGTTATCAAAGCAATATGCTTCTGTTTAATTTTGTTAAAAATTAATAAAATTGTAATAACTTGAATAGTCGTTCTATACCCTTAGTCTTTATTTTTTTATATATATACTCGTGATTTGTTCATATATGTACTTCTTAATGAAAAAATTGGTTCGAGTTTACTAGTTTGCTTTCTTTGGTGCTCGCAGTGACAAGCACGCGATACAAAGTGCATATCGCTACCTGAGATATCGCTTTAATGTAACACTCATGAAATGGCTTATCCCTTTCCTGGTGCGAGTCACAATATCTTTTATAAGAATTATGCTTTTTTTGATAAGAATCGCAATCTCTTTTTCGTCCTCTTATCCTACTACAAAATGCGGCAAAAGAAATTACCATACCGTACGCTTATAGTCATCTCATTAAATATGCGCTAGAAGCCATTTTTTTTCTTCGGGCATTTGCTCGGAGAATGGTACCGTGTATGTGTATCTACTACGGCCATCCCAAGCGCAAAAAGTCATCGGTTAGTTTAAGAGAGTCAACCGTATTGAGATCGAAAAGGAATTTTCATGACCACAAAGTTTTGCATAAAGCATAGGATGCGATCAGCAACGTGTAATTCATTATGAGCTTTTAAAATCAAATGCAACGGCTACCACAGGCGTCTACTGACGTGAGTTGAACAAATTAAACGATGTATTGTCGCAAAAAAAAAAAAACCAACCATAGCGGTTAGCAGTCGCCAAAGTCATTCTCTAGCATGACAACGTCCTACCACGTGTTGCACGAGTCGTCAACGATGCACAGTTCGATTACAGTTCAGGTGGGAAGTTCTGCCGCACACAGCGTAAATAGCGCCTTCTGCTTACCACTTGCTCAGGCGGGTTGCTGACACGCGGTTTTGAAGAAGTGCGAAAATGAGTCGATGATGGGATCCGCTGACAAACCAATAACAATTTTTCTCAATAAATGCCTTTTTGCCAAGTGAAACAATGATCAAAATATATGCAAGCGCTTATTTTATATATGGTTTTATTGATTTTTATCAAGTCACTTAACTTTATCGTTCACTTACTTTTTATTATGCTTTACTTTAATAATTTGCGAAATTTTATAGACCTTGTTTCTCGCATTTAATTTCAAGACTTGTGAACTTAGATTTTTAATTGTCTCCTTTATTCATTTAATTTTTCATTTTCTTTATCGTGAGACACGTTCAAGTTTATCATCTTACAAACTCATAGTGCTCGTAGCCTAATATTGTTGCATAATGCAAAATGTGCAATTAAAACTTTGTGCAAATTTGAATACGATTGAAAGGTACGCATCGCTAAATTCTCCATAATTAGTTAGTTAATGAACGCATCAATTAATTTAATTTGAAATTTCAAATTCAAAAACTATTCAAAAATTATTAAATATTGCTCAACAAATACATGTGACGGCAGGAGAGAATACCTGAAACCGACAAAAGCAATACATTTGTACGTATATACATATATGTATATATATAAGAGGCTAAAGTCGTACTTCGTTTCGACCGCCCATCTCCTTTATCTGGGGAATGGGGAAAAGCTACATTGAATTAGTGGTAAGCGAACTCACTGTATTGAGTTGACATGCAATCTGAAAACAACTGTTTTGCCATACGGTAAGGTTGTCAGGAGGCAAGCTTGTAGAAAAAAGTGCAACTCAAGTGACTTGCATCGTTGTCCGAGTCAAGGGACTGTGCAATTTCCGCTTTGTCCCCGCTTCTGGATCGGGTAGGCTAGAGATAAGACAAACGCTTTTTAGTGATAAGTTGCGTCGTCTAGTGTATAAGATTTGTCACTTAATAAAACCGACATATGACACACACTTTAGGAATCTATCGTAAATTTAATCAACGAGAAGCATAGCTAATCAGCTGCAAAAGTGAAGAAGATAAAGAAGGAGGAGGAGAAGGAGAAGGAGAAGGAGACGTTTGGTGGATCTCCTTTGTTTATTTTCTTCGATATAATACTTACGTAATATGTACCTGTATATAGACATTGAGTTGTTTTACCTTCTCGACGTTTAAATATATATTTTTCTGCTTTAAAATCGTATATGATTTTTGATATTAAAAAAAATGTCTGCACCTCACGACTCTCACATAGAATGCTTAGTGAATTTCATTTAATTTAAGTTATTGCTCCTGTGCAATATCAATATTTTGAGTTTTATTATATAAACTTCTCATAACTCTATTAAAATCTTTATCCCAAGCAAAGTAATTTTATGTAAAATATTAATACGTAAAACACAAAAGCAAAATATAATAGAAGGTCATGTGGGAATTATTTCATATGGCTCAGTGTTGAATTGGCTTCCATCTGTGTGCTGTAAAATGTTAATAACACACTAACGTGACATATATTTCGTCACATGCAATCAATCTATATATGCATGTGCATGTGTCAGTCCACATGCATACTATTTTAACATTTGATTGATTATCATATATATAGCAACAACAAAAGGCTGCTCTTATTTTAGAAATTTGAAAATTTGAAAACTAATTGAAATTTGAAAAATTATAATTTTACAGGTCTTTGGCTCGCCCAGTACACCAATATTGGAAAATCCTGAACATCAAACGCGCTGGTATTTCAAGTATTTCCTTGGAAAACGTAAGTCGTTTACGCTTTGATTGAAAAAAAAAAAAAACAAAAGATAACAAAATATTGCAATTAATTCGAATTTTTTTTTTTTTTTACTCTTTTTTTATTTTTATTTGATACGAATTGAAAGTGCTTTAAGTTGACTTGCACATGAGGTTGCCTTTATTTCAAAGATATTCTTTCACTTTAAAGATCCTTTTAAAAGCGTTGATGGTTTTTTTTTTTTTTTTCCTTTTAATTAAACGGATTGATTGTCTTTCTCCCTGTTTTTTTTTTTTTTTTTTTTTTTTTTTTTTGTTGTTCTTTTTTTTGTGTGTGTGTTTCGTTACACGACCCTTTACATTACATAAACGTCTTCTTTTTTTTTTATATCATGCCTGAATGTTGTAAAGGATGCAAATTTTTATCCGTTTACCGTTTTCTCTTTCTTCTTGATTCTCTTTGACTTGAAAGTGCATCAGAACTATGTTGGTATTGATGCCGAAAAATGTCCTTATTTTTTGTCAGTGGTATCACAAGATTCAGGTCATCAAGCCGCACCAATGTATCGCGCAATTTTATTCCGCAAGCAGGTAAGCGTTTCAAATACAAATGGACAAATCCGATTAATGATAACTGCCATTGCTTAACACATATATATACCTTAACAGAATTAAATTTAACATAGAAATTCGAGGAGGAAATAGATAGTTAGGCCAAACAACATGTTTGCTCAAGCACCAATAATAGCGTACGATTTAGATATGAGTACCTGTAAACAAGCAAAAGTGGATCCGTCAACAAATCCCACGCGTGTCATATAGATGACGTCTCTAACAAGAAAAAAAAAAGGAATAAATCATATTCCAAAAAAGGATCGCCTTTCGAAGAATTTTTTATTTATGTATTAGTTATGTTGCTTTTACTGAGAAAAGCTTTGTTTTTTCACAACAATAAAAAAATCCAATTTTCATCGCCTGATGAAACATTGTTGGTTGATGGGGAAAAAATGTCATTCAAACTCAGCATTAGCTTGAAAGCAGTTATGGTGACGCTTCTCCGTCGAAATGAATAAGTTCATGACATTGTATAGACCGCCCATCTGACCGATTTGTCTTATTTTTAATATCAATCTGTGTGCAAGAAATGTATGTTTACAACGCATATCCATTCACACGGACAGACAATAGAAACGAATATACGGTAATGTTTAAATCAATTCGAAATTTGAGATGTCGGTCAAGAATATATATATATATATATGCATGCGTATACATGTGTATTTACATATTTTATAGGGCCACTGAAGGTTTTGTTCACAAATCTTTTGCCGAAATGAATATATATATACGCCGAACACTCGATGGTGGGCACAAAAAATTTCCGGAGAGAAGAAGGTCCTCTCAAATTCTTAATATGCTTTAAATCAAATCAAAGATCCGCTGGATACTGGACGAGTTATAAAAAATGTTTTCTCTACTTTTCGTACGCATTTCTCTTTCAAATTTTTACACCCATCATCGAAGAATGAGCGATATATTTGCTTTATCAAAACGTTTGCAACGGCCAGAAGGGCACTTCAGCGACCCCACAAAATATATATACTCTTGAGCAGTATTAAGTTATGAATTGATTTAACCATCCGACTTTCCAGTTGTCCGCCCATTGTAAGCATTCTCTTGGCCATAAAAACGAACCTATCCACCTCAAATTTGGCAGAAACATTGAAGGTACTTTCACGAAAATTGGCATTGAAAACGGCGCAAAGGAGGGTTACCTCTGTTTATCAAAAGGAATAAAAAATTGGGTTTTTTGCTCATTACGCATAACCTACACTAGTTAAATCTACAAAAATATGAATATATTTTCTATGGATGGTGTTGTAGTACAATTTTATAGTGTGTCATGATTTCAAAAATAGGAGCAAGCTGCCAATAAAGTATAAATAAATTCGTCGCCAATTTCAAAATCGCACTGCATTTAACCATGTCTATGCGTCCATCTATTCGTCCATGCAACTGTGTAGTATTTATAATAAACATTGTACCTGCAACATAATGAAGATATCACCTAAAAACTTGTAAAAAAATTTCAAAATGAACAAAACTGGTCAAAGTATACACCTACAATGCCCACAAATCTATATAACAAAATTGAAGGACACCTTCGCTTGCCGTGTTTCTTGTTTATTACTCATAGAGTACAACGCAGGCATCATATAAATTCGCACTTTGCCTCCGAAAAGAGAAAAGACCAGCCATGCCCACCCAATACTGTAGAGTATGAAATTTCTTCTCCTCCATCTTTTCCGGTCGCGACCGAACATACATACTTTCATTTGCGACATATTTTGCTTGAAATATTTTGCGATAAACAAAAGCCTGGAACAAAATATGAATGACTTATAACCAATATATATGTAAATATAAATATGTATAAAAATGGACAGTAAATATTTCAGTTAAAAAGCAAAGGATAGGAAAGCCTCCTCTAGAACTAAGACTAGATTTATACGCGCATATCGCCGACTCGACTGTTTGTTCAAGAAAATGGAAAAGTTGCAAATAAGCTCAGTAGTCACTACATTGTATTATTACCCCATTATTCTGCTCTTCATCTTTTAGCTGCTAATTAAATTAAAATGAAAGAAAGAAATAAAAAACTCTTCCATTCGCATCATACAAATATCTTAAAAAGGTTTCTTACAAACTACGTACAGAACGTTATGTCATTTTGCTAATTGCCCGCTGGCAAATGTCATTGTATCGAAAACTGTATAGCGCAAGGATGTTCCAAGGTAGTATTGTCGTTAGTACAATTGTTTTAGTTGTATGGATTCGCTTCTCCTGCCTGCTCAGATAGGTCATAGAGCATATAAAGTTCTCAGAAAATTGAAGTAAAAAACCAAGTAAGTGGCCCACGATATAAGTCAAGAATATTTTTACATTTCCATAAATAAATTCTTCAATCCTTTACGGAAATCATTCAAACTATTCTCTAATACTTTTACAGCATTTTGAATATATCCGAAGTCGTACGGTAAACGCTTAAGAGTGAAGCAAAAAGTTAATGGCTTATGAAAGCATTTTCTACTCGCTTCTTATGATATATAAATATCGATTAATCAATCATTCGTCAAAAGTCGGCAATAAAATATTGACGGAAAGTTTTCGCCAAAATGCCAATGCATTTTTCTACTTACATTTGAAGCTAACTTTATATGCGACTTTGATCGATAACTTTAACTAACTGTATTACTGAGTGCACAACTGAGTCAAGCGATTTCATGCGGTTGCTTGGTAATGCGCTTTACACCATTAAGAAATTACTGCAGAGTAAGATCAATAGCAGTTTCGCGAGGCCATGCCCAGTTTATACGATTTTTTATTATCTCAGCACTCACGTGCCAGCGGACCATACCTTTTCTATTGCTTAATTCTGGACGTTTGCTTTAATCGCTCGCTTTATTTGCATTACGTAATCTTCGTGGGTAGTGGTATCAACAGGCTGAGCAGATTGGAGCAGCCAAGCACAACTCCATTCGCCAAACACATAGTGTTGTTGTTATATGACAACAATCTGGCGTTTACTAACGTCTCGGCACTTGCATCCACATTAGACAGCGGCCTTTCCTTATCATCAACCTTCTCGACATTCCCTTAATGATTAGCAGATGGAAATTCGATTCTTAAAATAGCTTCATTTTATTTATAGCCTTTTATGGTCGACGATGATTACAAATTTCGCATCGATGTTTGCTAAGGAAACATGACCAAAGGCAAGCATTTGCCTTCTCCTCACTTTGATAAAGCAAACAGTACGAATTTTTTCATTCGCTTTTTCGCTCAGTTCGAATTAACAAATGGCAGAAAGTTCTTCCTAAACACAATATTAGAGTTTTAGTTTCCTACCTCGACCAAGGGGTAAACGAGCGGGAGCACTCACCTATTTAAAAAATTTCGGAATGACTTAAGGCCGAGTCAATGTAATGGTCAATATATATTTTCGAACTTTTCTTCGGTCAGTCATCGAAGATTGTTATATGTAACGAACGATATGTAAACAAACTTTACGGCACATTTGTCCCAAAGATAGATTACAATCAAAATCGGGAACATCTTGCTTGAATGAACATAGCTATGATAACTATCGAGCCGATGGCTTAGATAGTATTAATTGGTGTGTTCGTCAAACACACCAAAGCCTCTTATAAGACACACACAGGCACAAGTAAAGTTTTTTGTTTAGTCAGTCAGTCAGTGAAAGTGTCTTCACAACGAACGTCTATATCGGACAGTTTTTAAAACGTTTCACCCCAACCATGTAAGAAATTTTTCAATTTCTAATTATTACGAAATTTAAAATCATTCTCTTATCGATTTTTGTTCAGGGAACTAGTTGCAGCATTGCACTGATAATTGACACGAATAACGAATAACAGTTATATTAAAAGCCGAAATATCTTTATACTTTTTCATTCAAGTCTGGAAAACATATCCGAACTGCGTTAAGGAAAATAGAAATCTTTCTATTATAATTTCTAGTGCAATTAAATTTAAACTCAAAGTTGAAACATTATTTCAAACATATGTAGGCACATGAGTGCATTACATGACAAAGATTAATAATAAACGATTACCCAAGTTGTAAGCCGTTAAGTCGCTCTATCCTTGCGCAATAGTTGTTAATTAAAGTAAAACAATTATGGAACAAGCCAGCATAATAACGATAATAACATTATCAATAAGTGAAGTAAAATCCTGCGAAATTATTCGCAAAACAAAAAAACAAAAAAAAAAAAAAAAAAAAACCATTTTCTGTAATGCCTTTCATTTTCTGAGTGTTAAACGCTCTGCTTTTTTAAAAAGAAACTCTTTAGCATGCATAACTACATATGGATGTCTAGTCAGTTTGGTTAAAGTGAAACGGGGAAGGAATTTGTTAGTAAAAATAAGTTACGAGCGCGAAGAATAAGCGGAAAAACATAAATTATTTTTCTTAACTTACTTGATATGCACTTTTCGTTCAAGTTTGAAGAACAAAAATAAGAACAAAAAACTTTTATGGCATTTTTAGGGCACTGCTCCAAGAATAACAAACAAGTAGGTTTTGCATGCAGGATAAATCGTGCTACCGTAAAAGTGCGAAAAAAATTAATACATACATAGAACAATTACGCCAGAATTGGAACAAAAAAAAAAAAAAAAAGAAAGAAAACAGACGAAGAAAATCATTCCTAATATCTCTTATATATAACTGCATATGTTGGAGAGTCTTGAAGGCACTGATTAAAGATTAGATTAAAATTCCTATTCAGAAGAAGCTACCGTTCTTTCTGCTAAATTCTTTAACTTTATTTTCTTTTTCTTTTTCTTCGACTTGTATTACATTTTACGCCCTTTCTCTCTCTCTCTCTCTCTCTCTCTCTCTGTCTCTTTCTCTCCCCCAAATAAGTCATCTAAACTTTTCATCATTCTTTGAGCAAAGGGTTTTTTTTTTAACGCGCACCCTAATATCAATGCGAACAGTTACAACAGATTTAGTTAAGGGCTTGTTGCCACCTCATCATATGCGTTGGAAAAGCAAATATTAACACATTTACATAGACGTGCATAAGCAAAAAGTTCATGTCACACAGTGTGTCGTAAACCACCATGAACTCATAAATGCGATAAATAGAAAAACCAATGTGGCTTTGCGTAACGCGCAGAGATTTTGCGCAACAAGAAAAAACATTGCGTTCGCGTTAGTACGAATTTTAATCATCCATCGGCAACTAATATATAAAAAGATTGCAAACAATTCAAGGCGTGTCAATTGCTTAACTTATATCTTTTTCCTTCTTCGTCTTCTTCTTTTTCACTGTTTTTTTTTTTTTTTTTCTGGTGCAATATTAGGAATGCATTAACATATGCATATGTTGTCTGTAACGTTGCACACCGCATTCAGTATTAAATTGTTGCTACTGTAAGGAGCTAAGAAAACCGATAGACCGTCAAACGAACCGATAAATGGCTGAATCGATAAAGAATTTCACATTAATCTAGAATATATATGTAGTTCGTTGAATTGTTGGGGTGGGTCGGTGTCGGGGTATTCGCAAACGAAACGACAAAGCAAGCGTGCTATTATATTGGATAGGTGGTGGGGTTTTGTATAAAAACTAATGAAAAATTTATTTGTCACAGCAATTATGAAACATGGTCATGGCCACAGAGATTCAATTTAACATAACTCGTTCTTTAGATTAACAAAAATAGCATTCATAATTTATTTAATTAATTAAAAGCAATGCACTGCGAATAATTAATTTACTGCATGTCCTTCCAGAGCAAGATAAAAAGAAGCTACACTGCCAATTTTTCACTTTTGGGACTTTTCACGTACCAATTGCTCGATTCCGTTACTCCGTTTAGCTATTTCGGTCTATCCGCCGTTTGACTCGTCAGTGTTTTTAAAGGGCCAGTCAAAATATTGATAATTCAATACTGGCAAGTTTAACTTAAAAACTTTCAAATGCATCATGACAAGTATAACTTACCTAAGGGTTTGTTATCACATAATTACCAAAATTAATTTAAAAATAAGTAACGCCAATCATTAACACTAGAACTACCCCTTGGGAGAAAGAAATAGTTGTAAGGCACATGAAATTCAAAAACTTTTCCTTCACATTTTCGTGACGGTTAAAACTACCTACAGTCAGTTTCTTTTCTACCTTTTCTTCTAGTTTTCCAGATGTCGATGACATGTACCACCTATTTCTAGACTGGCTGCAGTCGCAAAAATAGACATAAGAAAAAGGAATTGAATAAAAACATCCCTTGACCAAGGTGAAAAAATTGATCCGTTCACAAGCAAAAAACAAAAAAAAAAAATTAAGAAACCTCGAAGAAGCACCGAAAATTTTAACATATTTTTACCTTTAACCTTCGATTCTACTCGAATGTTTTCGCTAAGCTATTACCCACAAATCTTTAGCCCACGCGTCGCTCCAATCGCTTTCCTAATAGTTTCCGATTTTCATCTTTAGCATTCGATTCTACTCGAACGTATCCGTAAAGCTATCACCTAAATATCTTCGGCCGACATATCGTTCCAATTGGTGCACTAACAAACCGGCAGTTAATAGTTAAGTAGCTGAGTTACCAAATATATCTCATTTCGCTTATACTAAACAACTTTTCAACTACACCTTTTTTATATATAAATACACATATATATATATATATATATATATATATATACTTTCCAATGTCATTTATTCAAATTTCATAATAGAGTTTAGCAAGAATGTTATCTATTTGTATTTCCTTTACTAGATAAACGAAGGGCCTAACATTTTTATTACATTTATTGTCAATAAGACTTTTTTATTTCTTTTGCATAATAAAACTTTGCGACTTTGGCAATTCCACAAAGATTAACGGTCGAGTTGATCCTCTTTGATAAAAGAAGATATATGCCAGACATCCTTCTATTGCATCTAATATAATGAATCCTTCACTTATCTTCATGATAAAATAAATACCAATAAATGCTGGTACCTTGTTATACCCTACATCACTTGTGATATAGGGTATATTAAGTTGGTGACGTCGTATGCAACGCACAGGTGGGCTTAAGATGAACCCACCGTTTATTATACCGATCGATTCAGAATCAAAATCTGAATTAATCTAAGCGTGTCTGTCCGTCTGCTGTCCGTCCATATAAATTTATATTCAAGCTACAATTCGCAATTTTTGAGATACTTTGATCAAATATGGTACAATGACATGTTTTAACCCATGGACGAACTCTATTGAAAATGGCCCATATCGGTCCACTTCTCGATCACTTTGTGCAATTGTAAATTTTAATTTTCAAAATTTCCCGGCAAAAATGGCTAAGTAGCAGTATTTTAAATTGATGTGAAAACTTTAGAGAAAGCAGCACAGTGGTGTTGCTGTGGCCGACGACTAACCAAATACCTAATTCTAAATTGACAAAAGTGGCCCCATCAAAAAAATTTTATTCCACTTAGGACGTATATTAAGGAAAATTTCATATAAATTCTTTGCTTTAGATGCTGCTGCAAAGAAGATAATCTTTAGATTTTCGGTCTTTCGCTAGCAAAGCGGACACTCTAAAATTCCGGATGGTATATTTTATCTCCTAAAACAGTGCCGAACACGTTACTCTCTAACTTTTACAGGCATATATACCCAGAGAGTAAACAGTAAGTTGCTAGCAAATCAAAAATAATTAAATTATTTTAAAGGCAAAAGGCGTCCGAATTCCATCTCAGCCGTCCTACGAACCATTAAACCATTGAATTTGTTGCCACGGTAGGGCTTAACCTATTAATGACTAATTAATATCTCTTTTCGTGACCTATATGTAGGTCACTTGGACGCTATACAAATTCACAAATTACGTACATTACTAGAGTGGAAAGCTATTATGTTCTTCTGTGTAATTGAAAATCGTTTCCACTTTTGTCATAGGGATCAAAGTGAAGCGTTCATTCGATCTGTCATTTGGGGTTTAATACAGTTTCGAGTTTGGCCTTGAACTAAAATGTTTATCTCGCACGTGTATATCTTATTGCAATTTTAGAGTTTCTATATTCATTTCCATGCATTATTTATTTGTTTTTTATTTTGTTTTTGCTTTGTTAGGGTACACAGAAGATAGCACTACCGTATAATGGTAATCAAAAACTTACAGTGAAACAAATACTTGCTCACTTTAGTGGGATCGACGCAACGAGCACGAAAAATCCAAAGGAGATATTTGCAGCCGATATACAAAAGGATTTACTGCTGCTCGAAGAGCAGGAGGGTTCAGTTAACTTTAAATTTGGTGTTGTTTACATGAAACCGGGCCAGCGTTGCGATGATGAAATGTTAAGTAATGGTACGTATATGGATGCTTGTGCATGTCAAATTTTACGCCTAAACATGTTTATGCATATTCGGGCAAATTTTATATTGTTATCTCGAAGCATAATTAGAATTTAAGTTCATGCCCTTTCGCAAGCAGCAACGGCAATGGGTTGGCATCAGGAAAGTGAAAATATTTCCAAAATGTTTTGTAAACACTGCCCGTTGCATTCAATAATTTATCTCAAGCATATGGTCCCTGTAATGTTTGTAAGTGTGTGTGTGTGTGTGTGTGTGTGTGTGTGACTTGCTTTATATGCTAATGAGTTTCTTTTGTTTTCTCCTTAGTCTTAGAGAACATGTTGCTTAGCATTATACTGTCATTGTTATTATTTCTCTTTCTTTTTATTGGGTTTCTATTGTGTTGAAACCGTTATGCATGCAGAAGAAGCTAGTCAAGACTTTGAAGATTTTCTTGATGTCCTCGGCGAACGTGTACGTCTCAGGGGTTGGGATCGCTTTCGTGGCGGCTTAGATGTTAAAGGTAATTATAATACGTATATGAAATTCATAATGAAAATACTTTTATTTTATTTTTTTTTCTTCATTTTTCGAAACATTTTTTGCATTTCTCTGCATTTGAAGGTTATTTAAAGTTCGGTTGACCACAATGTAATTTATATAAAAAAGAAGAAGAAGAAGAAAACGAAAAAGAAGAATGGAAATATGGCCATAAAACTTTTGTTTGACTTTCAATACTTTATATTCTTTTTTCTTTTTTTTTCTTTTTTTTTTTTTGCTTCTTACTTTCGACGGTGAAAAGTCTTCTTCCATTGCAAGTTATTTGAAAAAGTTTTTTGTTTTTTTTTGTGATTTGAAAAAAGTGCTTTAAACCGTTGATATATGTACATAAAATATTTGTTCAAAGGTTTTATTAAAATTTTTGATTTTATATGAATTTTCAACTACAAATTTTCGCTATTTACACACCTTACTTACTTATAGTCTAGTCTTTCTTAGTATTTGTACTATTCACTCGTTCATGCGTTTTGCAAGAAATAGAACGAGTCTATATGTGTGTCCTTTGCGAAACAATACGAATATTAATGACATTTCATAAATGCGATTTTCGCATAAAAATATCGCATTAAATACATTTACCCTTTGGAAACCATTAAATGTTTTTATTGGGTCGTTGGCCGAATTCTCGTCCTTGCTTAAATTGTAGAGGAAAAGGTGAAAAATGTATTTCATTGCCATGCCATTGGTTAGCTGGCTTATAATAATTCTAATGCTTGGAGTAAGTGGATAGCTTAGCAATTTATAGGATATAGTGTGAGATAAATTATTTGAACTCAAAGAGGAAAATGTTATTACCAAAATTATGCTTTCTATGATCATCGCAACGACTTACGTTTAAATCTGTTAAACTGTTTGATCACAGTTGCGAGATTTTTATAAACCATTAGCGAACCAATTAGAAGAAGCGACTTGGTTTTCGTTGATTGGACTCTTACCTTAAAGCGAATATAGGCCGGTAGATGTCTCGAGGTGTTTAACGTGGATACCTGCCGTGAAGGGTATAATTCTGGTAGGCGGCGCAAAAACAATAGAAGCGCCATCTTGAACCATGCCTTATCAACAGCAACTAGTACTTGTAGGGTTAACAGCATGCATAAGCAGTCGATTTTTTAGATAAACATGTTGTGCCGATGGCGCCGCGGTAGCTCACACTTTTCGTTAAAAAGAATAATTCAATCCACACCGTAAAAAAAAAAAAATACATATACATATATCTTACCTCTGAAACTAACAGATAGCATTATTAAGGTTCAGGGAAAGCAATTCGCATCGAACTTTCTGTATAGAGCACAATGAACTATCTGGAAAAGAAGCAAAGGGAAGGTGTCACTATGCTGTGAATGGTATTTCGGAGGAGAAGCAAAATGCTGCAAACGTCGTAATTAATAAAAAGATGTGCTGTACGTGACTAATATGTATGGGGCATAGTTACTGCGGTCGACTTAACTTCAGTGAAAAATAAAACCCTATGTGAAGTAATGCATAAAAGTCACCCGGGTCTTTGCGATTTTTCAACCTCGACATTACACGGCAACGTTGAACGAAATAAGGCGTGACCGGGTAGTCAAAGGCTGTGATCACCAATTTGCAATTCAATTATGCGTCATTTAACAATTGAACTAATTATGGTAATGGCTGCCCACAATGATTTACAAGTATATCTTAACATACCTGAACAGTCCATTGGAATATTCTATAAAGGCTTATGCGGGGGCTCTCCGATAATCAAGCAATGTGAATGACCTTGAACTAATAGTGTTGATGCGGTTATATGAGAAAATTTAAGGCGAACCTTATCTTCATAACGCAACTGAAAGGAACAACTTCAATGCCCTATTTTTCCAATTTATGCGGATTCTTACGATTAACAGTTTGCTCAAGCAAGAACGACTTGAAATATATGAAGAAAAACAGATCGTTCCTAAGCAGTCTAAATTAAATATCATTCTTAATAAATTACATAATTTCTTAAATCAAGGCAGGAAATGACTTAGAACAATTACAATATTTTCAAGGATTTTGAATAAGCGGCACGTTCAGCTATTGCATTCATCTATCTATAGCTTGGAATGCTCCCATGCATACATTTTTTCGCAAGATACTTTCTTAAGGACAAATAAATATTCAATTTTTTAGGCAATCATAATAAATATTTATTTTCCCTTTTCACACAGGAGATATGACTGGAAAATATTCTGTTTACACTCTATATGAAGGTCATGAGATAATGTTTCATGTTTCAACACTTCTGCCTTTTTCAAAAGATAATCGACAACAGGTAAGCAAGCACTCTTATGCATAAGTAAGATATAATAAGTAAAATATATTTTAACCATAGAAAATTCACTTTTATACTTATCATTGAGGAATGATGTAATATTTGTTGCATTTGCAATTTTGTAGAGAGCTTCGCCAAATTAAATGACTAACTTTAGTGATCGTAGTGAAAAAAGTTGGCATGCCTGGATAGAAAACGAAATAATGGAGATTTGGCAGAGTGATGCTTTGGATTAGAAGATGGATTTATCTTCCATCGGAGAGATGTGGACATAAACCAAAAAAAAAAAAAAAGTTAATTTCCATCAATAGAATTAATGAAAGAAACAGTTCTAAATAATTTTCCCAAAAGTTACTTGCAAGACTTTGTAAAAATTGCTTTTGTTTGCCAATATCGCTATGAACACAAAAAAAAAACAAATAAAATATATTTCCGTGTATGCTAGATGTCATTACGTCACTGCTTTAAAAAAACAAGAGACAAAGTCGTCGGAAAAACGTGCGAGAGCAAACAAGCATGTGTGTAAGAAAATTATATTCGGCAGGTCCCGAATCTCGCATAGCCACCACTATTGTTCTCGCATTCTATTCTCCAAATTCTTTTATTTGATACCCATGTCGCTAATATTAATAACAAGAATTAATACCAATGTCCACCATAGTCATTTTAAAATGAACCCATTTCTAGGCAGATAATATATCTCCATTTGAGGAGATAGTTTTAAATATTCGGTTTTATTTGCCTCTTGATAAATGAGCATAAAATCACAAAAAATTCAAAAAAATAAAATTTAGTTACTCGTAACTTAGTATGGGCGTGGCCGATTGGTTCCATTTTCGATCCTAGGGAATAAGCTGTTTCGCAAGTTTAATTTTTCTAACTTTAATTATTTTCAAGTAATGGGGAAAAATTCAAGAATTTTTCTTAACATACACTGAGTTGCCTTCAGTTTACGTCCCACTATACGCTTCGGCTTCAACCAATTTGAACCATTTTCAATACCAACCTGCGGCCGAAAACTTCCAATGCACTTACCAAACGTGTAGTCGGTATTTTCCAACAACACAGATCAAGAGACGGACGGACATTACTAAATCAACTCAGAATGTCGCGCTAATCAAGAATATACACGTTTCGTAGGGTTTTTGAAGCTTCCTTTCGGATCTTACATATATGTTGGGAACAAAAAAACATCCTGTAGTGATGGGTATACATATAGAAAATAAACTCTCTTGTAAAAGGAAAAAAAATTAGACAAAAGAAAAAACTAAATATGAAGAAAAATTCAGTTTTAATTGATTTTAATTTAAATCAAGTAAATCAAGAGAAATAAAGAGAAAAAGGTGTGACATAGAGATTCGTTACAGCATTGCATTTGTATATCCTTAGTTTATGAAACCGATTTTATATAATTGAAACATTTTAACCATTGCTTGCTTATATGTATTTCTATTATTTCGTGTTGTGTTTTTTTTTTTTTTTTTTTTTTCTTAGAAAAAGAGTAAAATAATGAAACACAGATATGAAATATTAAATGATAGGGGACATCAATCGTTAAACTAAAGATTTCCATTAAAACTAAATGAAATTTTGTAAAAATTTATATAAACAATGCAAATATAGAGAAAAAGCTACGATTTGCATATCAGTTCATTAAAACAGGGGAAACGATCATATAGAAAAAGCATATAAGAAAAAAAATCGGTAAATGGCAAACTGTTAGAATGCAGCTCTGAGTGCGGGCTGGTACGTTATTTCGGCGGCATAAAATTTTCTGAATGAGCCTGACTTGGGACCTGCTTAGCATCGTGAATTTCCTTCGAAAAGTTGAAAACTTTCGATGTGCCGCAGACTTAGTTTATCCTAAAGATGCAATAAAAATTTCAAGGTGAAAGGAAAAAGTTTTGAAAGTGCTGCTAGAAAGTGAAGGCAAGCTTCGAGAAAATTGACTTCGAGAGAAACGAGTTTCTTGCCGTTAATCTTGAAATCTTGCACTATTGGATTAAAGGCTTTCATCTGCCATTTTTTTTTTTTTTTTTTCTTTTTCATGTTTCCAGTAATCGATTGTACTTGAAAATATTTGTTTTTTGATTATCGAAAATGTGCTTCGAATCGAATAGAATTTCTTTCAATATCCCGTTGCCTTTTGCGCACATTCTTCTTGCAGGTTGAACGGAAACGTCACATTGGGAACGATATTGTTAATATAATATTTATCGATCAAAGCGTAGCACCAGCACCAGCGCACACATTCCTACCCACAATGTTTGATCCGACATGGATAAAAAGCCAGTTTACACGTAATTACATAAATGCACGCAATTAAAATGATTTTATTGATTCTTATTTATTATCCATTGCAGACATATTTGCGGTAGTTACTAAAGCGAAGCAAACATATCGTTTGGCGATATTTTGCGATGAAAATGTTCCGCCATTCGGCCCGACACTACCAAACCCACCAGAATTTAATGTAAGTTAAAAGTTCATCTTTCCGCATTCACCCTAATCGCTACATACAGTTTCCATTTACGTGTGAACGTATAATTCGATTATTTTTACACACACACAAACACACATGACATATAGAATAAGTTAGAAGATACAAGAATTTCAAATATTTTATAATTAATATTTAATGAGAGAAGAGAAATCCTTTGAAAATCAAAAGCGCACTGTTCTAAACAGAAAACCGAAGAAAAACCCAATAAACAATATATATATGTGATTGAATGATTGATATTTGACGCCTTCTCATAAACCACACAATTCCTCCACGTGCTCAACTCTAACATTTACGATAGTTTTACGTATATTAAAGCGAATATTTTTCAAATCTCTTCGACTCTTCTTAAATAAACTCACGATATGGTTGTTTCTTTCCAAGCGGTCCATGAAACCGTTTACTGAATGATCGCAATCTTCCAACATAGCCTTACTTTTACTTTTTTCCCAATCGGATGCACTACTCTATGGACTTTCTTCTACTTGAATTTTTTCATTTAAAGGTGACGTTATATTTACCATTAACACATTATATTACCCAGATACGCAGCAATTGTACGCCATCTAAATAAACAGTACGTTTTTCCCTTTGTTCTTAAGCCATTAGCTTGGTTACTCTAATGGACTTTTAACAAGTATATAAAGAATATTTCAATGCCATTTTAGACTAGGCTTATTAGACGTACAAAGTCAACGTAATGGACTGAATGGATTGAAGAATTTAATCAAAATTCCTTAAAAATGTATTTTAAAGTAAACTATCGATCGAAAATTATAGACAAGAAAATAAGAATAAATTTTAGTTTTTAATCTACCTTAGACGTGTAAGCAGACAGACCATAACCTTGAGTTCGTCTTGACCGATCGGAGGAATATTCATCTTCCCATCTTCCCTTTTGCGACTTTAGCGATGTCAGATAAATTATGATCGCGACGACATGTCATAGGCCCTCCATCTCAATCTCAACCAAAGGGATATCCTCCTGAAGGTCAATGCGACACTGTGCGCCTTTTCACAAAACGTGTACAATGCATCTCCCAATGTTGACATTTTTGTTTTGCTCTTTCACCTCTGCAATATTAAACGGATATGAAATGGTAGTGAATCACATAAGCAGCGCTACTGGCATTTGGCCATCACGATATTTCCTTTCACTATTAGCATATAGAATATAAAATTTGCTTTATTTGATTAATAGTCGATCAATTGATTGCAATAGGGACACTTAATACAATTTCAGATTGCATTTCTATCATTAATTAATTCTTTTAATCTTAACCCGAAGGTATACGATTCACTAGAATTTGCTTATTTACTATTCATTGTATATTCCTTTTCCTCTTACTTTACCATCATTTTTCTACAGGATGTCAATATGTTTCGTGAATTTTTGCTTGTCAAATTAATTAACGCTGAGAAAGCTACATTTCAAACACCAATATTCTCACAGAAACGTGAACGCACTTTGGAAATGTTGATTAAAGATTTGCACGAGGATTACATTGGCGATAATAAAATGGTATGTGTACTGTGTGTATGTATGTATGTATGTGTGTGTATGTGTGTATTACAAAATGTATCTGCATGATTAGAAGTATTACATGATATAATGATTGCTAATAGAGTTTCGAAATGTATGCGAAACGCGAACGCACGAGCAGTTTGATTAGAGAGACCATTGAAACAGCCTTAAGAAAGTTGTTGTCTTCTTTTGTTTTTTTTATTAAACAGTTTTCTTTTACGGTATGGAAGAGAAGGTAATAGAACAACAGTATTCTTCTAGGAAGCTATTAAGTATATTTAGTATTGAAAAATTATTTCTATTAGAGCCATTCTCGCGGCCCATAAGTTAATTGGTGCGCATATGAATCTGAAAGAAACCAAAAAAAAAAGTAAGAAAATTATATTTGGCTGCGGCTGAATCTTCTATACCCGTCATCGTTAACTTAACATAAATTATACAAATCTGTATTGTTGTCGTTTATAAGTGATGGGCAAAAGCAGAGATAATCTTAGTTTGTGTTGTATTGTGAGCGTGTCCTCTAAGTAATTTCACCATGACTTTTAGCAGCCACTTGGTTGCAGTAACTTTACATGGCTTTGCAAAATTTAGAGCTGATATGTTCATTATTGCTAGCAGGAGAATGCTTACCATACAAACCCACTGAGACTAAATCATCCTTCACGTGTTTCGCTAGAGCATGTTTTTTTAAAGACATTGCAAGAAATTTGAACGAGAGAAGAATAAGAATTGTTCAAGTTATGCTAGTTGTCGTTCCGCAAAATTTTAATGAAAAGAAAATATATATAGTTTGGGGAAAAAGAAATCCATTATTTTTTCGGTAGACAGCTGCACTGATAGATTTCTCGTAAAGTATCGATCAAACAATTTCATATTTATGCTCGTTGGAAAGGTGACATTTCGCAGTAAAAAAAATTCTTTTACTGTTTTTTGTTTGGTGGATTCAGTTGTGAGTTACAGCGTGTTAAAAATGGAAGTGAACAAAGAGAAAATTCGGTACATTTTACAGTTTTTCTTTGACAAAGGCGAAAATGCAAGCCAGGCGGCCAAAATTGTGAATGGTGTTTATGGTTCCGATACTGTAACAGCCAATTATGTGCAATTTTGGAATTTTTGATGTTAATGATGCACCTCGCACAGGTAGACCGGTCGTCGAAAATGTCGACAAAATCGGAGAAATGATCGAACAAAATATCAATACTAACTTTTTTTAAATGGACGTTGTCTTGGAAACGTTGAAGAAGAAATTACAAAAGGAAATCCACAATACCATCACCCCACCTTTATGTCCAACAAATGTTGAGAAAATCAAAATCCAAGCATTTTCGAGAATTCACGTTGATCATACAATTGCAACACACTAATGGATCTTGAAGAAGTCTTCCTCCCCAATCTGCAATTGTGAACAAATTCTCGCTATAAAGCACATTCTCTGCGACTGCCTTAACTTTACCTTACCAGCTACCGAACAGAATATCAATACAATATATTACTTTATCAAAACTACTAGGCTCAATATCTAATGGACTTTTATAAATTAGAGCCGGTAGCTTGCGCTGCTAGTGCTCTAGTCTAAGAATTTATTTCATTCAGTTGCAAAGATATTATTAAATACTTAACGCCATTTTAAACATAAAAGCTTTATAGATATTTTATACAATAATATGATTGCGAATATATTTCCGTCAGTCAAAGGCATGCGTTCACGCATGTGGCGTTAAGCGAATATGTTCACGTTTTGTTTTTGTTACATCCTCCTATTTTGTATTTGCGAAAAAATAAGTGCGTAACCCGTCACGAGATGCTTTCCATAATTCAGCTCGTCAGAGATCGCCTAGAAGTGCTTTTAATAGCTCATATTTATACAAATCGTTAAACGACAATATTTCCAGTTACGAGAAACATCTGTAACACAATCTATGACTAACTAAAGTCTTTCAAGCAAATAGTCGCGGGCAATGATTTTTGGCGGATCCAATTCTATAGTTAGCCTGACTGAGAGCTGCTAGGTATACGGTTGCCAAATATAATCGCAGAAGAAGCTATTACTGAGCGCTTCGTAGTAACGCAGATGATTTTATTTTGAGCATTCGCTTGTTGACAACAAGCTTAGGACTAAAGAATATGTATAAGAGGGAAAAATTTAAATATCTCGTAGCTTGGAGAATATAAAACCGAAAGTTTTGCATATCTAGTACAAGTTCACTGTGTATGATATAAAATATTTTATTTGAAGTATTGCCCATCGGTAGCTATACATTTTTCTCACTTATCTGGCGATCTTTCGCTTTTGCCGCGAAACATTCCTCGAGCCGTTTTAAGCATCGCTTAACAAGAGCCAATTCAAACGAGTGATAAGCGGAAAAGCTCGAGTATGATGAATAAATCATACGGGCTCACATTATCTAGCTGAATCGGATTCGGAACATGAACAAGTGGACGGATGACATCCGCATGAGTGAACTGCACTTGACCACATAAAATGTATAACTGATAATCGATATATATATATATGCAGCATGCACTAAAAACAAGATGTGAAATCTAAAATTATTTTTTAATTTATTTATGTTATTAGCTAAAAATTCGAAAATATTAAAGCGAGCAAATTTTATAAGCAGCATAGAGTATAGTGCTGATAAAGCTCAGCTTAGTAAGTTTAGTGATATGCAGTTGAAGTTAGATCTGTATGGAAAGTTGTTGCTTGAGAATGAACAGAAAATTCAAAAAAAGTAATAAATTTTTCTTCTATCCTATCCTATCCGTGCCTATCGTAAATGTTAACAACATTTTTAGAATATGCTGAATCGGCGAGCTTTCTCGGAGGTTTTATACGACGTGCCAAGAACATCAAAACTTAAAGAAGATGCTCGGCAAATTGAATTTGTGCGTATAGGTCAGGCTCTCAAGCTGGAAGCCATTGTAAAAGGTGATGCTCCCACCAGTATTGCTTCCGCCAGTCCCTGTACCATTTTCAAGAAACCACCTTGGGAACCATATTGTTTTTATCCAACATTTCCGCATCGCGGCTCATTGGCAGGTGATTCATTCGGCATAGATGACGAAGGTCTATTCATAGCAACAGATGACGGTACATTTCTGATTAAAGGTAACTGAGAGATTATCTCTATTCTTCTGAATTTTGATAGCATGTTATGTCTTGCAGAAGATCAATCGTTGCAATTAGTTTTTGATAAAACTTTGCTTATACGACAATTGAATATTTTGGAAGAGCATGGCTTGGTTTTAATACGCGGCGGGTCATTAAATAATCGCGATGCTCATCGCGTGCACGTGTTTCGGCTAAGAGAATTTTATGCGAAACGACCGGATGACACGATTAAATGTCGTTCTCGATCAGAAATTAAAGATCGACGCATTGAACGAACCAGAGGTTGCCATTTATTCGCGAGCTGCCGTGCAAATGGCGGACATTTACGTTTGGTAGTAATAGTTGGTCGACGAATGCAACTATTTCAATGGAAACATACTGCCGCCTGGGCTTCCTGGTGCTCTGAAAACGATATAGAAACAGCTGAAGGTTTTATTTATCAAAAAGAGATATCACTTAATGACACGCCTACCATAGTGACACCATTAGAAGGCCCCACCAATACTACAAACGGAGGGCTAATATGTGTTGGTTATCGGTAAGTTTGACTGCGAGAACGAATGCGTAATACAATCAAACCCGCTTTATAATGTAGACACGTAAATGCATTCTGTTTTGATTCTATATTTTAAAAGCTATCATTATGAAATCGTTTGCGATCAAACGGGAGTTGCTACACGTTTACATGAAGTTGAATCTTCGAAACGGAATCAAACGCAACTAACCGCAGCCATAGAATTATGCGATGGTTTAGAGACCGAGTTATTGCTATGTTATAACCGTTAGTTTACTTTTACTTTTTCTTTTTTTTTTCTTTTTAACTGAGATCACTTATATTCTTTTTTGTTCATTAACAATATGTTGTGCATTCCTTTTCCTCTTGTGCAGATACTTGTCATTTTCAAAAATTAAATGACAAAGATGACTCACGAAATGAATTCGATTTCCACTGGAATACCTCACCTACTTCTGTGGTTTGCGCCTTCCCTTATATACTGGGTTTCACATCAGACTCAATGGAAATTCGTTTGCTGGTCAATGGAAATTTAGTGCATACAGCTATCCTGCCGGAATTACAAATGATAACTTCTAAACGTGATATATTCTTTGTAACAACAGCTCCAGAATTTATGTCCAAAGATCTTAATATTAGAGGTCTACAAATTCAAGAGCATGCCAGTGAAAAACGTTTCGTAACTACACCAAGCGAATGTTCCTCAAACGAAGAGTTGACGCGTGAGAGTCTCAGTATTGGGGATCAACAAATTTGCGGCAATACGTCCAAGGAATTACCTATAAATCCAGAACATGAGATGAATAACTTACTCGAAATTCCTGCTATGCCTGGTCAAGATCCGCCGCTCATACAAAGGGCGCGGTCTCTACAAAAGAGTGCCCATGTCGAAGAGAAACCCATAATAGCCAAAAGTAATTCATATGGAGACAGTTACAATAATTCAGCGCAACGTAAGGGTTCTGTTATGGAAGCTCATTTAGTCGGTGTACCACCTAATTCGCCGCGTAACGGCACCACATGTGCAAATTCGTTACAAAATAAACAAAATTCACCCATGTCTCCGACGAAACGTAATTCAAAGTATCGCAATCTCTTTAACAGCACTAACACTACTCCAACAACAGAAAACTATTCAAGTTCGCCAGATCGATCAAAACCTTTACGTATTTATCGCATACCCTTAACAAAGTTAACAGGGACTCATTCTCATTTCAATATGCATTCGTTTAGTGCTACGAATGCTGCAGCCAAACAAAATCGCGAACGCGAAATAATATCGATTAATTTACGCGATTATCGTCAAACATCTATTGATGTAACGTTACCCTTAAAAATGGAACAAAACGAATGACATTTGTATAAGACAGACATTAAAGAAAAGCTTCAACAACAAACACTTACGCCCACGGGCATGGTATTTATGGAAAAGCGTAAATCTATAGATCGTTACGATTTTGATGACAACAAGTTCAATGAAGAAGACGAACGCAGATTTGAAATGTTGATGCTTCAGCGCTAACGTAGTTAATAGTTAAAAAAAAAAAAAGAAGAAAAATATTTGAAAAGTTTCATTTAAATCATACTAATTGAATTAATTTTAAAACAAATAAGATCGATAAAGTCGGGCAAGACCGACCATTAACCGCCCTACATCACTTCGACTAATACAATCTTTGTATTATGTTTGTGACAAAATACCAAAACACTATACACTTACTTTCAAATGTACAAATTTGGAATATCCAGGAGAGTTTTTATATGGAGAGGGCGCCCAAACCTTGAACTGGCCTCGTCCATATTTAGCAAAATAATTACCTTGTCCAAGTATTTAATGATTTTTATTTAATTTTTGTCATGAAACAACCGAAATCACATATTCTTACCCTCTAAAGATATACTTCTCATGGGAACTTTTGCATGGAGTGAGGTCAAAAAAAGTCGACCTACCTTATCCAAATTTGGAACATCTATTTTTTATTCCATATTAATTTTATGGACAGCTGTTCATCGTAAAATATGAAAGTGTCGCGGTATAAAGATTCACTCATTCACTTACCGTGAAAATGTTGGATATGTATGGAAGGGGATTAGAAACGCTGGCCCATTCGATTGAAATTTTTTACCTCGGCTCAATATATCAAAATATTTTTAATCAGCGATTTTTGTGAAAAATCAAAAAAAAATTTTTTTTTTTTTTTTTATATATAACAAGATCCGATCCAATGCATTTTCGCTGTCATTCTTCCTTAGCCTTAGTCGAAATATATCCAAAATGACAACCTGTAGATTTTTTTCAAAAGTACACTGACAAACATCGAACAGGCAAGCAGAAAAGTTTAAATCTATTCAGAAATGGTTTCCGATCCAATTGGTGTAACAACCGATGGGTCTCTATCTTAAATGTTTGCCCATATTCCAGAAGTTTAACATACACTCATTCTATCACAAATGGTGTAGGGTGTAAAGAGGTTTATTTTAGAAGAATCATTGGTTTCGTAATAAAATTGCCTAAAAGCTTCTTTTTTAATTAGAATTAAATTTTAGATTGAATTTCTTAAAACGAAAGAACCAAAAATTTTATTATGACTGACATGTACTACTCTATCTATCTATCTATCTATTCATCATAAGCTGCAATTGTCTTTCTTCTAAACCGACAAAATTTTCGCAAAACAAATTTAGATAACTTCTTTTTTGATAAGTTAAAGATCGCCTTTAAATATTTTCATTAGATTGGAAACCCAAGAGCTTATCAAATAATGAAATTTATTGAATAACACCGTCGTCTGTATCGTTTCAGAAGTGAACAGAAAATTTTTCGTAGAAAAAAGAAAAACAAGAAAAACTAGAAATAAGGGAATCATTTCCGACTTTGTAAATGGCTTAGATCCTATTCGAAAAGAAAGAAATGCAAACAGCAATTTTGACCGAACCTGATATTGACGGAGATTAATAGGAAAAGCTTTAATAAACCTAAACTATAGCATGTCACCTTAACTCGTGCTCTGGTATTTCATTCGATTGCATGTACGATACTTTTCAGCTTCACCTACAGACGAAGCAAAAAAGACTTATCGATATTCTTTTCTTTTAAGCAAAATAATGAGAGAAACATCGTTTATTAGGTAGTAGAATTTCGTCGCTTTCAGGGAAAGTCTGCCCAACAGGTTCTTTGAAATTGTAATCAAGTAAGAGACATTACGTAAACTATATTTTCGAAAGCAATGGTTATTATTATTGCTTCTATCTTGTATACTTTCTCGATAGAAAACGACATGGATGGGTTGATGGGGATACGGTCTTAATGTGATGTCAGTCTCTTTATTTGTAAAAATCACACATAACCCTCTTAAAGAGCATTATATCAAAGATATAGATATTAATATTGGCGGAGAAGAGACACTCTTCCTTTTCTTCTACTATTAATTAACAGTCCAGACGGGATATTAGATCTTTGAACATAGAGAAGAAAAAAAAAAAGGGGAAAATAATTTTATTTTTTATTTTTATTTAATTATTATAATTGTAATCCTTATATTTCTCAATATGTAAATCATAATAGATATCCACAATATAGTAGAAAATTAAGGCAACATAAGTAAAGATTCAAGAGTGCAAACTATAAACTGTGTTAACTAATAATTGAAGAATTTCATGAAGAAAATCAAACGAATGCCGTTGTTGATAATACAGAGTCTACGTTGTTGTTAAAGCGTTAACAAATGCTATTGAGTATATTTTATGTAATGTTAAATATATAATAATATGGGAAAAAAAAATTAATAAATAAATAAAATAGTAATAATAATAATAATAATAATTAAATCTTACAAATGCACACATACCTACTTACATGTGTATCTATTGACCACATAAACAAATTAAAAGCTCACATAATGTTACCTAAACGTGCAAAGGGCCTAATGAATGTATCCGAAATTGTACTAAAAATGAAGGGGAAAAAAGAAACAAAATAATCATAACTCAATGCTTTATAAAAGCTCTCTATGGAGAATACATTCCTTCCTTTTTTTTCTTACTTTTTCCTATATATTTCGCTTAAAAAAGGTTAACTCTATTACTGATGATGTATGGGAATATGTGTGTATTTTAACAAATAAACTAAATAGAGATTAAAAGCATGGAATTATGATTTTCGGCGATATAGGGAGACAAACTTGCGCCTGATAAAATCAATTTCACGTATAATGTTAATTAAGCTCTTTACACGTTTAGGAAACGATACATGTCTGCAAACAAACAAATATTTACAAGTATCCTTACTTATACAAAGCATAGATTGATAATATGTATGTATGTATGTATTGATTATATTTGCAAAATTTTATATTGAATTAAAGGAAAAATCCAAAATGGGCCAGCAAATCAAAACAGAATAATATTTCGATTCTTAAAATTCTTAGGTCATCCCATGCATTATTTTATTTATTTAAATTATTATTACCTCCTAAACAACCAATTAATGATCGCAAATATTACCTAATATCACATATAAGAATAAGAAACAGATAAGATAATGACCATTTCACCTAACGGTTAGATACTTTATATGCCCTTAATAATTACTAAGCATTTAAACTCTCCGAGCATAGTTGAGAGTTGTTTGCAAAGGTACGAAGGTAGTGCGTAGTTCCATAGCTTGATAGCGTTCGAATGTCTCATTCTACTCTTCTTAGCTTCTCCTTCGCATTCCAAACAATCTACTCACTTATATTTTTCATAGCCCATGCAAGTTCATCTGCCAATATTTAATATGAAAATATATTTCCCTTTAAGTCACTACACACTGGGATGATTGAAAGCGTTTGAAAGGAAAACGCATAAAAATTTATAACTTTTCCAGGCTTTATTCATATGATGGAGTAACGTTTTTTTTTTTTTTTTTTTTTTTTTATCGCATACTGTCATCCTTTTATTCCTTGTATCGTTTCTAATCATTTTATTTCTTTTACTCGCTTGAGTAAATGGTCGGAGAAAGCGAATAAAATGGTTATGGCTTCAAAAAGCAGTAAAGAATTTCTTAAAAAAAAGTTCTTTTGATCTTGAGTGAAACCATTGAGTACTAAATAAACGATTGCCTGACGGCAATTTTGATACTGACCATTAGCTGAGTAGCATAGTGTACCCATCCTCTTTCGCATCAAAGCTTTCATATGGTTCGTAAGCCACGTCTTCTTTTTCTTGAATTTCTTGCTGCATTGTCCGCATGCTTATAAAGTCGGAACGTTTTCAATGTAATTATTTTCAAAAAAATATCTATATTAACCTGCATAACCTGCATCTTTAATACTCACGTGTCAAGGATAAATTCAAGCTGAATTTTGTTAACTAATGTTATTACAAACTGATGCATTTAGTTGATATTATCCCTTATTTCCATGACATTTCGCCGACATCAAAACATAATTGATTTAAGCCTATCATACATGGAATGACCTAATATTTTATATATTAAATTTTGAAAAAATACTAAGAAAACATATAAAATTTTTAAGCCTTTTTTTTAATGTAATCATTAATTTTTCGAAATTTTGCATAAAGTAACAGCATAAAATTTTATATTATTTATAATAATTCAAGAGAATAAAATATTTTCCAATAAATCTAAAATATTTTTACATTAAGTACTTATGACAAGAATCATTCGTAAGTACAAATTATACGCATTACCACGTATCTAAATAATCCACGGCTCCTGTTTCATTAGCATAAGCTCAAGTGCAATTCGATATTGGATATACATTCGGTGCATGCATGTATTTTGAGCATTTTTTTTTATTGAGAAAAATGTTGGCGATAAATATGTTAATTAATATACTTTCCATCATTTTCTACAACTTTTCCCCATCTGTCTAGCAACGTGGCGAACCCATTTTCGCACTTCTTCACTGCTGCATCGATGTGTACAAGTGATAATGAGAGGACGCTATGTACGTAGAGAAAGATCAAAATTATGGAATTTGACGGTTGCGCGTATTGACACTTTCGCATTACTCGATCATTTTCATCAACATATGTCACTGATCAAAATACATGCAAGCAACTATTTGGAGGGCAAGGCTAGTTGTAAACGGTTCTCATATTCGCAACCAATAAATAATTGCATGGACAGATTGGCTGGTATGACGTTATCGATTCCTTTATATTTCCGTTCATCTAATGTTTCTTTGTTTTTAGTCCGAATAATTCCTGTTAGTTTTTGATCAAGATGCCACCAATATATTTCTCATGTAGTTGCCGACAATTTTTTGTCTGATTTTATTCCCGATAAATTTTGATAGGAATTATTAACTACTGACCATGCACTTAGCGTTAAACAAACCCAACTCAGCTACCTCAACGATAATCGATTAAGATATAAAAGATGATATAGCGTCGCGGTGTTATACGTAAGAATCTTAAAGACACTTTGCTTTCAAATCAAAATTATTTATTAAAATCATTATTTCAAATAAAAAAAAAAAAAAAATTAAATAAAAAAAAAAAAAAAACAAGTCTATAGCAAAATACAAAATGAAGAAAGGCAGTAAGTACATCATTTGGCGTTTATCCATTAGAGTAAAAGTTATAAGTGATACATGACTAGTGCAGATAACAGTCAATAGAAATGGATACTTAACCTTACTTATGCGTACCAATGAAAAATAAAATTTCTCAGATAAATTATAGAAATAAAAGAAAATAAAAAAAATAATCACAGTTAATAAAATTTTAATTAATATATAAATTAATAATTAATTCTTTAATTTTTTTATTTATTCATATAGTTTTTCTTATATTGATGAAGGTAGCCCTTATAATTTTACCTTTGTACAGTACTAACAGAACATCTTTTAGCATCGTTTATAAAAATAGTTCTTTGGTTCGAGATATTCTTCTAAAATTTTACTACTATAAGATTGTGATTATTGTGGACTAGTCTTTAATAAGTACATATATACGTATATATATATATATATATATATATAGATACATCAAAGTACGTTTTTTCTAAAGGATGTGGACAAAATTTTATTTAAATATTACCAAAGTTGAATACATCGACGAAAAGTGAACCGTAGCGTAGCGGAGGGCTTAATAAATTTTATTTTTTTATTTTTTTCGGAAATTTTTCTAAAAATTTTCGATACCTTAACACTTTTGTTATGGACATTTTTCCACTTATTTATATAGGTACTAGCATTTTGTTCTTCGGGCTTCGATGGAGATAAACTTGCTTTGTATGAAATATGACAAAATAAAGCAATTATTTAAAATAATAACGTTGAAGCCCGTTGTATGCTTTAGCAATGCTTTTCGTTAAACTTAATAACTATTTTATTTCTAAGATTTGAAAAGTAGAAAATACAGTTTTTTTCTTTATTTTCTTTTTATAGTTATTATTTTATCTTAAAATTAAGTTAAAAACACTCTTACAAACACTAATCGATTTATAAAAATAGAAAAATATTTAAAATTTGACTTAATTGCTATGAGTTGTAATACACTTTGAATTGGATTTACATGATAGAGGCAGAGAACTATTGCTCTTGATTAACATAACTAACTAAGCGACATTTTACCAGTCTTCATCGTCCTCATTGTATTCTGAAATTTCAATACGAAACGGTGTTTGAGCATTTTTTAGTCTACGAAATGTGGTGCGACCTAGAGGATTGCGTCGCAAATCTACCACCTCTAGACTGTCGCTAGTAATGAATTCATCTGTATCAATTTCTGTAAGAAGAAGAAGAAAGAAGAAGAAGAAAAAATATGAACATAAGTTTTTTAATCTCTTAGATATAAGCGGAGCCAGGAGCGGTAGCATATTAACAATCCGAAAAAAAAACCAATTTGACCGCTGACAGTTTAGGATTATTAATTACACAAGAGGGCAATGCGTTTTCATTGCTGAAAACTTTTTCAAAAACCATGAAAGTTTGGCGGTCACATCTCGCAAATTTTGTACAAACTAGAGTCACCTTGATGGCTTCGTTAATCGCCACAATCTGAGGTTCAGAGAACCTACGTGTGATTGTCGAAAAACAAATGCGTCCATACCATGTCACTCTTTGGTGCGAATTTTAGACTGAAACCACCATTAGATCATACTTGATCGAAAACAAGGTTGGCCTTGAACATGTGTGTGAACATGTTCCACGACATGTCCCGCAAAACAATTCAATTAATGCATGAGACATTTCCTGGTCGTGTACTTTCTAGTTGTGGTGATCAGAGTTGAGTCATGTGAGATCATCGCACAACCACCCGTGCATTAAAAGAGGAGATTCGCTGCATCAACCAAACTCAGTCATATTTATGCAAAATGGTTATGGAAATTTTCGGGTAGAAAAGTGCGCATGTGCCAATATAGCTGCTGAGGGCAATTGCCCGATGTGCTACTTCACACATTACCATATCCTATGCACATTATGATTCAATAAAAAACCCTGTGCGGTCAGGATGGCCAGACGGACAACTGGACAGACGGATAAGTGAACGGATGGACATACCTAAATCGATTCAGAGTTCGATACTGATCAAGAATATATATACTTTATGGAGCGTGTGAAGTCTGCTTGTGGGCGTTGCAAACGTTCTGATATGAGTCCTTATCCTTCGGTCATGGAAATAAAAAAATTAACTATTTCCCCATAAGGGTAGCTCTAAATTCATGTGTTTAAAAAACATTTTCACCCTCAGAGAGCCGTAGTTCATTTCCTATTCACTTGTGTTCTGAAATCTTTAGTTTTCCATTATCGAAAGCATAAGCGTTAGCCCCTTGATAAGTCGTCCCTGTTAAATACATGATATCATAAAGGAAATAAATTCCCTGATATTTTTACCTATAATGGCATTGTGACTGGCATCCAATTCTCGTAATTTAGGCATTTTGAAAACCACGGGTGGCAAAACGATAAATGAATTATGCGAGATATTCAAGCGGGCCAAGTTTGTTAAATCAGCCAATTCATCCGGTAATTTGGACATTTGGTTATGTGATAAATTTAAATCTAAAAGAAACAAAAAAAAAAACCAAAGAGATTATAAACATAATGATATCTATGTACATGTATACATATGTTACATATTGATGTAAAAACATATTGTATAGAATGGAAATATATATATATATGTATATGTATATACCCGTAATTAAACTAAATTTGACAGCAAACTTTGGTGAAATCTTTTTGATTACATTGCCACTGAGATCGCAGGTTTTTAATTCCGTATTACGCATCAAATGATAGACGGCATCAGGTATTTGCATTAATTCACATTCCGACAAATCTAAATAAGAATAATAATAATAATAATATTTAATTAAATATTTAGCTAAAAACATTTTAAAGTAAATGTACACAAAATTATATAATAGCGTAAAATGGCATAATTTACCTAATTCACGATTTTCTTTAGCACTTTCACAACGCTCAACAACTCTGACAACCGCGTGAGCCATTTTAAGCGACTTTTTCAAAGCAATTACGAGAAAATTTTTTCCTTTTTTTGTGTTTTTTACAATCCGCGGAAAAGAAAGGTCCGTCTTTTTATTCTGCTTTCAATAATTTTCAATTTAAATTTTTCATGATAAGTTAAAATAAGCAACGAAAGAATAAATATTAAATCTCTAGCCAAATAAATCTGTTTGCGTTTCGACATTTCATACGCTCAGGCCTTTTTTCTATTATTTTATTTATAAAAATTGAATGCAAAAGAAAACCACTCTTTCTTTCTCATCGATCATACGCATGTACCTTCAAAAATTGCTACTTTTCTGATTTCAAGCAGACGCTATATATATATTTATACACGTACATATATATAATAAATATTTTTTTGTATTCAGCTGCTCTTTCCACCTGCGTTGGTCACTTCGAAAGCTATCCAATGAACAATGACTCTCTCAAACAGTTACAAATTTTATCTTACTTGCATGCAAACACTAAGCAGATAAAATTTTTTATGTGTTTTTTTAAAGCAAAGAGCAAGGCATAAAATGAAAGAGAGAGGGAATATAAAATGAGCGAAGCTTTTCATTATTAAGGTGAGAGTGAAGAAAAACTTTTGTTTAGTACGTACGACAGGAGAAATGGTAGAAATTGCAAAAACTTTATGCTTTAAGCATAGTTTCATTATAACTAAAAAAGGCATACTTGAAGAAACATGTTGTACCATTACTGGATAGGATAGTCATTTAGGTCATGTGCCTTTTTTTTTTTTCCTTTTTATGAGATAATTTTTTTGCAATTTTCTTCTTAGGATTACAACAAGAGGTTCTACGGCGCTTTCCTAAATAAAAAGAAAAAAGGATTTTCCCATGAAGCAAAACCAAAGTCGGTGTCGCTTTAAGCTGAATCTTTGCTCCGTCGAAGTACTAAGTAATCTAGATCCTAACCAGCTCATTCTTTTCGCAGATTTCGAATACTTTCTCCCAACTGATATTAGAGACATTAAGCAATTCATAGAATTGTTCTTAAAAAAATTAAAAAAAACCCAGCCTAAGAGACCCAGCTATACCAATACCTTAGTCTAAGCAAATATCCGAAAACAACTCCATAAACCTTATCCTGAAAATTAATCGAATCTCAGGTGTGCATACAAGTTTCTCAATTAAGTTTACGGCGAGCAGAGATCTCTTAAAAATTTTCCAAGAGCACGAATTGGGCGTAAATTATATATTTGTAACTCTAAACCTCTCTGATATGATTGCTATTAACTGAATGTAAAACTGAAAGTAAAAATTGAAATATTTTAAAAGCTCAATACTATTTAGACTGCCTACGGAATTCCAGAATAGAAGTTTGAGTGCGATGATGATATAACGTTTAAAAAATCCTAATAGTCCCTCAAGATTCAGAAAATGTGAGTTCATCGGGCTTAAATCATCAACTTATTGAAACCAAAAATCTTCAAGTCAGCAAAATATATTTACGAAAATCCAGCAAAACAATTTGTTGTAAATTATTATTTTTATTATTTTACATTACAAAAATAAGAAAATTCGGTCATTCAACTGAATAATATTGAACACATGCCAAAAATACCAAAAAAAAAAAAAAAAAACAAAAAACAAAATCATTAAATGCAACAACTGTTATACCGAAAGCAAAATACGTTTCAAAGTTCTTAGAAATAAAAATTGAATGTGAAATAAGCAAAACACTTGATGATCATTAAAAAAAAAAAAAAAAAAAAAAAAAAGAAAAGGAGAGCTTATCCTATACTATTTGGTTGGCAAGTAGCTATTATCCGTTTGAATCCGTGATTAACGGATATTACGCATTTTTCCCATTCGACATTTGACTGCAGTCAGGCTTCGATCGGATCGAAAAGAAGTTGTGTAGCATATGTTTTCGTGAACCAAAACTCACAAAGATTTCTATATAATAGAATCTATTTGCGGATAATTGAATAATAGAGTGAAAGTATATCTGAAATGATTTAAGGATTCGCATTTTCCATCTTTGACAATCACCCCAACACCATGGACGATGGATCATCATATGAAGTTGATAGTAAAGCAATCAAGACGATTGTTGAAGATCACATGATGACAAAAACAAGAGACTCAGAAATCTATTCAAGCGGATCAACTTGGATGTATTACTAAAATAATTGGATGGAAGCCTTGTTAGAGTCGTTGAGAAAACGCAGAAAATTCGTATTGTATTCAAGCAGTGCAATGCTATGACTCATATATCTTAGCTAAGCTAAACACTTTAGTAATAATTGATTTACTTAATGGGTAGCAGAAATCTGTGAGCACAAAGATGGTTACAAAAACAAAAAAAAAAAAAAAAATACAAGTAAACAATAAAAGTCAAGATATATGATTAATAAAAATCTGTTATTCGTATATAAAAAAAAAAAAAAAAAAAAAAAAAAAAAAGTGTAATTTCGCAATTACTTTCACGCCACTCTTACACAAAGCATAAAAACAAAAACAAGCAGAATTATTAGTATAACACACAAAAGCAATTTAATTTATTTTAGATATAAAGATATTACGGCACATGATTTTATTCCATTTAATGCAGGAAATGTTACATTCATTGCACTAGATCGGCAGTATAACAAGGAAAAAGTTGTAATTTTACAAACATATATATATATATATACCTGGATACATGTTAAGCTACATGACAATTACTTGTTGTAAATTTTTACCGCCCACTTGCGGCGAACGAAAAGTTAGGTAGTGCACTGGCACTGCCAAAGTCATGGGAAAATTTAATTTTTATTCACTTGCTTTGTATGCAATAAGTTATATTATATGTACGTAACTGATATATTGTACTTGACTGTTTTGTTGTAATTCTACGAAAAATTTGGAAATTGCGCAAATTGCATTAAGATAAAAAAAAAAAAAAAGAAAAACAAAAACAAAAAAACAAATAAAAAAAAAGGAAAAAAATCTTACTCTGACTCTTTCTTTTCTTGAATTTTTGCCAAAATTTCTGTTTATGGCAAAAAGAAATAAAAATATGAAAATAGGAAAATTTTTAAATGAAAGCGTAAAAGAAAATCTTATGAAATTATGGCCGCACACTCTAACGCAAATCATCATTTCATAATAATTACGATATAGCTTGTAAACTTGGTGAGGACGTGTGCAATATGCGCTTCAAACTAAATGTTATTCATGGTTAACTTGAAAATCAGAATAAATGCGACTACGTTTACGGAGTCTCGCGATTTTACTCTTATTTACCCAGCGAAATTACACTTCAATGTCTTATGTCAATGTCAAATTCGAGATTATATTTGGTGAAAACTTCAACCTTTTTGTTTGGGCCCACAGTGAGACAGTGCTTTATAAATGTTATACCTTTATCGAGTTAACGCTAAAGCTACGGTTAACGCATTTGAGATTTGAAGCCGCTAACACTGACATGGCAATTAGAGTTCTTACTTACTCGACTACTTAGGCGGATAAAAATGCGGATCGATGAGTTTGCGGTACAAACAATTTTCAAAACTTCACTAGAGTCAGTTCGACAGTAAGTAAGAGAATTGTCTTTTTGCTTAAAGAGCTAAAGAACTGGAACTCTTTTTATGAAGAAAACTTTCGATTTCCTTGAAGAATATTCAAACAATTGAAATCCATACGAGTCGAAAATTGATTTTAAAAATTGAAAAATTTAAGCGAAGAATCTCATTAAGGGGCTTAACAATTAAAGAGGTTTCGTTTCGTCGATGTGGGCTCATATATAGTTGGCAGGCAATACATTGATTATTTTGTAAAGAAATTTATCGCAATAAATGCGAAATTGTTTTATACGCATTACTTTATTGCACATCAAAAGCTGAGTAATTGAATCAGAGAAAATGATCATCATTGATATTCGAATGTGAACAAAGAAAGTACGTTTCCACTGATTTACACAAAATATTTTCGTTTAACTTTTGTTTGTTTTAAATAAGAACGCAGTAAAAGCACTACAGTGGGCCATGACCCTCCGTAACCATCGTGCAGTTATTCGTATAAGGCCGTATATATAATTTTACACAGCCAGAGAGACGGACAGACAAGCTTAAATCGAATTAGAAAGTGACTCGGAATCGAGCGGTGGATCTATGTCAAGTTCTTCTGGGTATTGCATACATCCACACAAACTTAATGTACTCTTACCCTACAAGAGGTGTAGGGTATTAAAAGAAAAAAAAAAAAAAAAAATGGACTACATATACCTTAACAAGGCATATATCTTGTACCAGCTTTTATTATCCAACGACGTATTGATGAGCATATTTACAGTCTGTTGGTGAAACTAAATTCACAACGTATATTATATATATATATATGCCTTTGAAAAGACTTTGGAGATATCTAGGAATGGTCATCTGAATATTCAACCAATCAATGCCTATAACTTTAGTTGAAGAACTTGACCTTCGAATTCAATATTGTGATATATTGAAGAGTCGAATAAACGTGAAATGTCTCTGCTTCAGTCAGGCATGCAAGCCATACGCATATGTAACAACTTTGTAAATAAGTTTAAATATGCAACCAAAAAATTACTTACTACATTTATATAGTTACATATATATTAATTTAATTCCCTTTCTCTATTTCCATTATCTTCTTGTTATTCTTTGAAGTGTTGACTTCTTCGTAGAAAATTTCCATCAGTCATTTCAATAAAAATTTGCTTTCACGATTTTCATAGGCCATCTTCCTGGAAACATAATCCATGAGAAATCAACTGAAAAAGATGATAGCCGACATAGACCGACCGTTAAATACCTTATACCATTTTGTCTAATAGACTTCACTTCACTTTAGTTTTCTGACATTCATAAAAACAAACATTCGTTCCCATTATTATGGAACTGTTTACTTCCCATTGCAACGCTGAATTAATATGATCGAAATTTTCACCCCGTTATGGAGAGCAAATCGAAGAAATGGGCCTACCAGATTTCAACCTATTCTAGAAAATATCAAATTTCGGGAGATTTTTACAAATTTTAATTTTTTTTTTTTTTCGTATAATGTCAAGTGAAGTTCATCTGAAATTTTACATGCATCCGCACAAACTTAACGTGCAATTACTATAAGCGGTGTAGAGTAAAATTAGAACAAGCTTTCCTTTTTCAATGCAAATCTTGTGACAGTGTTTACCAATATTTAAAAAAATCAATCAAATCGCACAAAATGAATGAACGGAAATTTTTTCTAGATTTCACGGGAACTGCACGGGTTTGCTTCTGTTTGTGCAAATATAGGAAATAATCAAAATTTTACAAAATTTTTAGCCCTTACATACCTCTTCATATGCCTTATATTTGAAATGTCATATTAAGAAGACAGGAAGACAGGGCAACTAACAAATCAAATATGTCGCTAGAGACTTTAACTAACAGAAAAGCATTTGATTGAAAACAGTGAAACTGAAGAAAGCTTACCAAATCGCTCTTCTTAGGCCATAGGTAATTTTA